TTCTTATTTTTTAAACGACACGATATATTTTTAATTTCATGGCATGGTATGGCTGAGTATTTTTTTGTAATAATAAAATTCTAAAGCTACGTTGCTACTACGTGTTTATTTTGCTCATTGATGAATGCAACGTCGCGTGTTAAGTAAACAAGTTAATTAATTAATTTTATTAAAAGTAGTAATTATTTTTTTTTATCGCCATATTTATTTTTTTTTTTCCCTCTCTTTTTTATTATTTTATACACTGTGCACCGTCACGTTCGAACATACACATACACACACACACATATACACTGACGAGGAATGGGATCGTTGTTCATTAGCGGACTTTTATCGTCCAATCTCGGTTGCAGCAATCCCGACTCGTGTACTCGTAGTCATTTATTGCTGATAAGCCGGTGGAAAAGGCGGCGTTTATCGGCGCACGCATAATGGCAGATTTAGTATTCATTATCAGCGAAATGGCAGCTCGTAGCGTGATTTTCTGTATGACGTATATCACTTCGATTGGAATTATACTCAGTGGATGCAAATCGTAACTGTGTCGGGGATTTGATCGAACATGAAACGTCGTTTCCTGGAAGAAACTCTCCAATGTGCTCGTTTAATAAACTTTCGATGGTTATTTTAATTGTAGGTTATGTTATCGTTGGATGAAAAGTATGGTAAATGTAACAATAGCAAATTCTTTCGAAAATATCCACAGCGTTTGGGATGGTAAAATTAAACGTGAAATATTATTTTTGGACAATTTTGTGTTGCCACATTTGACTGGAAATTTTTTGGTTCAAAAAGTTAACCTGCTAGTTTTTATATTTTCCTGAAAGAACAGAGAAATATTGGAGAATTTTTAATCTTTTTTCAATAAACTGAAAGATTCTGTTACTTGATTATAAGTAATCGAATAATGAAATTGAACAAAGTTGTCTGTTTTTTTAGAAAAACACTTTTTATACAAGAAAGATGCAATTTAGAAAGATTTTCGAATTCAATTAGATAACAAAATCTATCTCAATTGTTAAATTTAAGTTTACTTACTTCAAACGAATTCTATTGATAATATAATTTTTATTTAGTTTATTTTCACATCTTTACTGTCCAAAAATAAACATCTCCTCTATAGCTTCGCGCATAAGACGGCAATCTCATTCGTACTAACATGGACACCGATAACCGGTGTAGCCATCGAGCCGAATTAATCCTCGAAACACGCATTTGCATTCACTTTCGCGATAAATCATATCGAAAGAACGACCACTCTTCGAGACTGTTCAACGAATTACTTTAAATATGGCGAATCTTTATGCTAACCGTTGGCGCGCAATAATAAACCAAAGTATTCGTCAAATTACAACGCATAAAAACGCTTAGTTCCCGCAAGTAGCAGAGGGCAGCACCGCACTGTGCGGCGTGGAATTAAAAAAGCCGTGGAAGTGGAGAAGGAGGAGGAGGAGGAGGAGGAGGAGGAGAAAGAGGAACGGTTGAAGGCGGAGAGAGGAGAGATGAATGAAACGGAGAACCTCCGATCAAATGGACGAAGACGAAAACACGAAGGAAGAAGATGGAATCACGATAAAAAGGATGGAGAGAGCGCGAGAAAAGGAGGAAGAGAGAGACAGACGCGAGAAGAATGGCCGGTGGAAAGGGTATTACTTGGTGGAAGTAAAAGAAGAAGCCAAAGAAATCTAGGAAAGGGCAGCTGTAAAGATAAAAAGAGATAGTACAACGTTCGTGCGTGCACCACGTGACTGTGTGTGTGTTTAATCTCCTCTATAGCACGGAGGAGGGCTGATGGGAGTTCAGTCCGCGCCTCTTTGGAGGGAGATGACTTGGCCGCCTTAATGATTCCGGAGGAAAATAATGAAACATGACCAGGTATCAGAAAGGGGCGTTACTGAACGGCGAAAACGGTGGAGAGGGGCGAAGTCGCCCTTTTCCTACGCGTCGTTGATATAAGGACCAGGATACGACGTCTTGTCGGCCTGAGGAAGGTAGGAGGCACTAATGAGGACCGTGAGAGCTCGACGAAGAACCTGAAGGCACGAGAGAGACGAGGCAACGATCAGCTTATTCGAGGGAACGAGATGGAAAACGAAAGGAGGCTGTGGCTCTGGACCAACGATCATCAACCGGGATTGGCCCGTGGGCCCGACCACCGGCGCGACCTGGTTGGACGAACCGGACCCCTCGGTGCACCAGGTGAGAAAAACTCACCTGAAGAAACCATGCCTACGTGGCTGGGAGTGGTGAAGCTGGATGAACGTTACTCGGTACAGAGGATCCACTCTTAGAACGTGAACCAACGAGTTCGAAGCGTCCATATTGCTCTACACTAGCGCCACCATCTTTCTAATCGCTTCCCTCGTGGGCCTCGACGCTATTCGCGATTTATGGAAGGTTGGCGTGAGAATCGTAAAGGTTCTGCTTTATCGACAAGTCCTGATCCGGCTGCGATGGAAGACGAACGATGTTTTCGAAGCAGAAGAATCCTCGAACACACGATGCTCGTCCGACGATTTTTACGAGATGTAAGAAACGTGGGAACGGGTATACGGTATTTGTTCGTTATAAGCTTACAGCCCTTCTTGGTAGAAATCTAGTATCTAACATTATTTTATTTTTCAAGATGTATGAAAATATTTGAACTTTTTAAAATTAAGTCTAATTTATTTTTTTTTTTATCTCTTTTACTCGAATCTCATCTTATCTTTGCCAATAATGACGATCGTAAATGATAGCTTGTAAAAGATAAAAAGAAATTGAAAACAAATTAAAGAAAATGTATCGTTTTATTGAATCAAAAGAAAATAAGAAATATATGGAAATATGGGAAAAAAAATACACATCAAATACTTGCTCTCAATTTTTCTTATGTCTTCTACTATATACTTTTATCATTTTATCAAAATAGAATAAGTTAAAATTTCATATGCTTAATAAATAATTGTATATAATCTTGAACTGTCAACTTATAACGAATAAATATCATTGCGAATAAAAATCATGGATTAATATCCAATCTCTCATTGAACTCGATAATAATATTTATTCTTATTTAAAGATCCAAAATGTTTAAACAAATTTCTAATGTATTGGTTAAATTACTCGACTTATTGTTTCACAGACGATTTCCCCCGAACGTACCCGATTTTTCTCGAGCATACCCGACTATTTCCGAACACGTATTCGCGAGAAAAGCATATAGCGAATGAGTACTGTATCGCGTGGAATCGAGTATAATGTATCGAATTGTAAATAAAAGAAGCGAAATGTGGTTGGATATGATAAATACAAGCAGAGGAGGTAAAAATATTGCGGTTTTTCGCATAAAATGAGAATGTTTGACGTTTACCAATACACCAGATCTCCCGTTCATGGGTCGAAGTTACAACAGGAAGCGATTGTTACTTTGTTATCGAGCGGATGGAAACTCACGCAATTACCTTTAATTACCGTTTAATAGCGAGTGGAACGATAGTAGCACACCTGTCTTTCATCGCCGGAATGCATCGACATGGTGCACGATGCAGCCATTTAATTGCTTTGATTATTTGAAAAGATTGTCGCGATAAGCGTACAGGTTATGAAGGATAAATTTCATTATTGTATATATTAATACGTGTATAAAACATCTCGTATAATTATCAATCGGCTTCACTCGTTTAATACAAAGGAATATTATTTCGATTTAATTAATACGATTTAATAAATAAATAATAATAAGTTGTTTGAGGTTATCTTGAGGTTATCTACCTTTTTCTATCGTTTTTATCGCCATTGTCTGTGAAATCTTAACTGACATGAAATTATTTATTATCCGATGAAAAGTACAGTGTAATCCGCTACAATGTATATTAATCTCTTTTTAATCGTAATGATTAAACAATTACACCGATTTACGTAAGATACTTGCGGTATTTTCTACGATGAAATAATTAGTTGATCGAACGCATTTCTTCCAGATGTTTCCAGATAAGAGGCGAGAAATTGAATTCGATAATATTTATACGTTATTCGATATATTGATAACGAATGAAAATAAATGAAGTTTTAATTTTTTTTTCTTATTTCAAAGTTATAAAATGTTGTTAACGATTAGTTATAGATAATTTATTAATTTTTGATATATTTAAAATATCAAAAACACGAATAGATATGGATAAAAGAGAAAAATTTATTACACATATAATATTTTTACGTGTTCTGGATAAACATAAATAAATCATCTTGACGATTATCGATATATCGTAAAATTATCAATAAGATATTGATAACGTATCGATAATCTAGTTTTCGAAACATAATGTTGTAAATTAAAAGAAAATCGTCATCGTCAATGTCGAAGTTATTCGCGTTAGACACGTGCACGTTAATTGCATACACGATGACATACTCGTTCCTAGATATGCATAATTGTATGCATAATTAACGTCAAAAGCAACTTTATCATTTCCGTTGAACACCAAGTTTTTTAATAGAACAACTAAAATCGTCTTCTATATTGCATTTTGCATTATGTAAAAATAGAAGAAAAAAAGTCCTTCTTTAGTTTGTTTTAACATTATTTTCCTACATGTTAACTATATTTATATTAT